TTTTTATATTAAATTTTATAAGAGTCTTTTTCAGAGTATAGTATAGTTTTTAAGATAATTAATTATATAAATTAAGCAAATTCTATAAAAGTCTTTTTCAGAGTATAATATATCTCTTAAAATAATTAATTAAGTAGATTAAATATAAGGAATATGTATAAGATAGTGTGAAGAAAGTATATCTATTATAAAGTTAAGATAGTATCTATATTATTTAAAGTATTATTACTAGTCTTTTATCTAGTTTCTCTCGCGGATATATCTATCCGCGAGAATTCTATAAATTATATATTATATTAATATAATTACTTTATAAGAGACTATCTCTGCAGTATAAATATTTCTTGTAATATATTATATTATAAGAATTATAAGAATTATTATTTTTATAATTATTCTTTTTTCTAGAATCTTAATTCTTAAGATTATTATTTATAAAAAATTAAATATTATTAAAACTTCTGCTGTAAAATCTTCTTTATAAAAAAATTAATTAAAAAAAAATAATTCTCTTTTTTTTTTATAATATCTACTTTATATAAGCCCGCCGCGATAATTATTTATATAGCTATAAATAGATTATCTCTTGCTATATTTTAAGTCTTAATAATAAATTATCTCTTATTATACTTTAAGTCTCAGTAATAATAATTAAATAATAAATATAATATAATATTCTTAATTCAGCTATAAATCAGGACTTAGAACTCAGAACTTAGAATTTTAAAAAAAAATATTTTTTTTAAATTTTTTTTTTTTTTTTTGTTTTTTAATTTTCTCTATTTTATAGCTCTTTCTTTCTTTTCTTAATTATTATTATTAATTATTATTATTAATTATTACTACTATTAATTATTAGTAAGTACTTATCTAAAGAATTTTTATAATTATTTATAATTATAATTATCTATATCTTTATAACTATTTATATCTTTGTGATTATTTTTATATTTTTACAGCTATTTTATACTCTTATAGCTGTTTTTATACTCTTTACAACTATTTTATATTTTTATAGCTGTTTTATATTCTTGCAGTTATTTTTATATTTTTTATAATTATTTTATATTTTTATAGTTATTTTATATTCTTATAACTGTTTTTATACTTTTTATAATTATTTTATATTTTCGCAGCTATTTTATACTTTTGCGGCTGTTTATATTAGATTATTAAATATAATATTTTATAATTTTATATTAATCTATAGATATTTATTACTTCGCGAGTTTAAAATATATAATCTAATCTAAATATTATAACTAATTATCTTAATATCTTTCTTATATTATATATCTGTTAATTTTTTTTATAATAAAATTATTATATTTATTATAGATTTCTTGCTTTTTTTTTTTATTTTTTTTTTTTATTTTTCTTTTTATAAGATTTTATAATAAATAATTTCTTAAAGAAATTTATCTTATATTTTATAATTAATTATAAAATTAGATTAGTTTCTTTCTATAATTATTTTTTTTATTATTATTATTTTTATTATTACTGCTGCTGCTGCTGCTGCTGTCTCTGTTATTAATATTATTATTATTATTAATATTATTATTATTACTACTGTAATTTTTTCTTCTTTTTTTTTTATAATAAATATTTATTTTTTTTACAGAGTATAAAACTAATTTATATATAATTTATTATTTTATTAGTTAAAATTTTTAAGATAGTCTAGTCTTTTGCAGTTTTATCTTTTTATATTTTTTTTATTATTTATTATTATAATAATATTATTATATTTAATAATATTTTTATTATTTCTGCAACCCGCGGATTATAGATAGATAGATTATTTTTTTTTTAAAAAAAATATACTCAGAGTAGTCTGAAATTAATCTATTTTATAAAATATTAGAATTATAAACTAGACTTTGACTTAGTTTATAGATTTATCTATAATAAACTAATTTATTAATATTTTTATAAATATACTAATAATTCTGCTAGATCTTTTTCTTTAAGTAAAATTATAATTTTTATTTAATTAAGAAAAATATTAGATTATATAGCTAGTAATAAAATCTATTCTCTTTATTAAATTTAATAATTATTATTAGCTAAAAATCTAGATCTAGCTCTATAAAAATTTTTTTATAACTAGAGCTAATTAATATTCTTTTTTTAATTAAATATATAGTATATATTATAATCTCTTAGACTTAAGAATATTTATAATATATATTAATAATAATTGCAGCTAGAGATATAATAACTATTTTTAAATTAATTATAAAATCTATTTTTTATAAATTAAATAATTAATTTATTTATTTTTATTTCTGCAAGCGCTTGCTATATTTTATATTTTAAATTATAATTAAATAAAGATTATTATAGATAATTTTTTCTATTATTTTATTATTTTATTTTTTTTTTATTTTTAAATAAAGATTATATTCGCAAATAAACTTCTTATAAAGCTGTAAATAATATAGATTTATAATTAATTCTTAGATATTATTCTTACTAGAATAATTCTTTTATTTAACTAAGATTTTTAAAAATTTATTCTAACTCTATAAGATTAATAAAATCTTTAAATAATATTTATAATTATTCTTTTTTATAAGAAAGTACTTCTGCGAGTTTATTCTATTTATTTTATAATATTTATAAAATAATAATATATAAAATATATTATATATTTATAATTCTGTAGATAACTTCAGTCTATAGACTTAAAAATTTATTTATTTAATAATATAATAAAATTCTTTGTTTTATAGATCTAGTTTTTTATTAGTTTATTTTTATAAAAGATACTTTATAGATAATTAAATTATCTTTTTTAATATAAAGTTTTTTATTTATTTTTTATAATTATAAAATTATTTTTATTTTTTATAAATAGAAGTTAGATTTTTCTTTATTTTAATATAGATTTTTTAAATATATTTAATTTATTTAGAGACTTTAATCTCTACTTCTCTCTTTTTATAAAAATCTATTTTAATTACTCGCAGATATTTTATTATAATAATATAAAAGAATAATTTTTTTATAAAATTTTATAAAATATTATTATATATAAACTCTGTAATAGACAGAAAATTTATTTAATTATTTTATTTAAAATTAATATAATTTTGCAAGTACTGTATTTAATTTTTTAATTTAATTATTAGTCTGTAGATAATAAGTTATATTTAGTTTTTTTTTTATTATAAATATATAGATAAAGTCAGATTAGAAATTCTTTATAAAAATATTATTATAATCTATAATAATTTTCGCGGATATATTATATAAACAGAAAATCTTTTTAATAAAGATTTTTATAAGATTCTTCTTATTAAGACTTTTTTATAAGAAAATAAAATAAATTATTTTATTATATTAATCTATTATTACTAGAATATTATTAAAGATCTTTTATAAGTTTTTAATAATACTAGCGCTCGCGGATAAATTAGTAATAAAGTTTATTATTATTTTTTTCTAAAATTTTATAAATATAAATAAAAATTCTAGCAGCTCTTACTATTTTCTATAAATTATTTTATTATTTTAATATATTTTATAAATTTAATAATATTTATTTATAAAGTTATCTATTTCTGATTATTAAAATTATTATAATATTAATATTAATATTCTTTTATTTATAAAATAGCTTATAATAGAATTATTATATAGTTTTATAAATATTTAAAGCTTAAGAATATACTTATTTAAGATATATAATTATTTTACTCTCTATAAAAGATCTTTATAATTTTTTTATTATAAAATTTTATCTATTTTCTTTTTTCTTTATAACTTAAAATCTTTAGAATCTCTTAGTTCTTTATAGACTCTTTATATTTATTAATTTTTTATTAATATTATAAATACTGCGGCTAGCAGCTCCGCGGAAGAATTCTTATAATATAAAATTTTTATAATAATAATATTATCTGCTATCTTTTTTTTTATAATTTTCTATATATTTAAAATATATCTAAGAACTTTTCTTAAGAAGTAAGAACTTTTCTTAAGAAGACTTTATTAAACTTTCACTTTCTCATACAAATTTGGTGCAAAAGTGAGGTGAAAGTAAGAGAAAGATAAGAGAAGTAAAAAAATAAGAAGAATTAAAAATCAGATAAATAAATAAGAACTTTTTTCTAATCTCTCAGAAAGATTTTACTGAACTCTTACTGAACTCTTACTTTCTTATATAAATTAGATATAAAAATAAGATGAAAGTGAGATAAAGATAAAAAAAAAATAAGAAAAAGATAAAAAAAGTAATAAGAAAAATTAAAGATAAGAAAGAGATTAAAAACTGATTTAACTTGATTAAAACTTATTAAAAAACTAATTAAAAACTGAGAGATCTTTTTATTATATTTATAGTTAATTGGCTATCAAAAGTATATAAAAATATATAAAATTATATAAAAATTATATAAAAATTATATAAATAAAACAGGGCCGAGAACAATAGAATCAGTGATTAAATAGAGACTAAAATAATTAATAAAAGTAAGGTTTCTTGCTCCGCTGCGGGATAGGCGGAACTCAGAATTATCAGTCTGTTAACTGGTGGCCTAAGGCAGCGAACTGGCGAGCCTTAGACAGCAAACTAGTGAGCCTTAGGCAGCGAACTGGCCAGTCTGCCTATATTATTGACACACCCCCGCAGTTTTGATGAGATGAAATATCAGAAAAAACTGGAGTAAACAAATTGCTAAAATAGAAAATAATAATAATAGGATTTAATAAATCACTATATTCAACTGTTTAATAAATTAAGTATATTTCTGATCAAGAAACTGCTTAGTCAGGCCATCTACTTATATTTTATTAATAGATACTTATTAAATATTAATTATTTTATTCAGGGCTTCTTGTCTTAGTTAATAATTAGTAATATTAATATATTTCAGACTAATCCAAAAGAGGAAATTCTTATCAGTAAGAATTTTGACTGTTTAATAATTATTATATAATATAAAGAAGTATTGATTAGAACTAAATCCTATTTATTTAAAAAATCTTCTTTATCAAAGAAGTTGCTTGACTATAGTAATTAGAGCTAATAATTCAGCTTCAGTAGTTAAAAGAATTATATAATACTGTTTCTTGCTTAGCCAATTAATAAAGTTATTAAATAAATAAATAATATATCTTATTAAGCTAGCGCGATCTTGATTATTAGCAAAACTAGTATTACTGGCTATATAAAATAAAATAGAACTAGAGCTAAATTTAATAGCCAAGTTCTTTGTTTCTTCTAAATAAAAGATTAAATAATCCACAGCCCTTAGGTGTTTAGGACTTGGATTAATTAGATATTCTAAAATTAACTGATATAATTTGATAATATCAGGTCTAGTTTAAATTACAGAATATAAAGCTGATCCTATTTTCTGCTGAAATTTATAAATTTGATTGACAGTGATCTGATAAAGTAGATTTTTTACTAATTTCTTGCTTAGAAGTAGGGATTTAGAGCTTTTTCTTTACTCTAAATTAAACTTATTAATAATCTTATTAATATAGTTTAATTATTAAATTCACAACTTCCTATTTGGGCAATTATATAAGATTTAAATATTAAGAAATAAATTAATCTCTTTAAGATCTTTGAATTTAAATAATATTATTAATTCTTATTTGAATTTATTAAATTTTTGATAATTTAATTTATAAAACACATAAATTATATTATTTATAAAAATTATCAAAATTATAAATTTATTAATAAAGATATATTAATCTTTCTGAATAGACTTAAGCTCTAGGGCTATTAGTCTCTGTTTCAGAGTATTTTATCAAAGAAATAATAAATATCTTAATCTATATAGAACTTTCTGTAATAGAAAAACTGTTTATTTATTTTCTAATCTAGAAATTAAATCTATATAGATTTTCTTCTTAATAAGACTATTAAAAAAGATGATGATTGTATTTAGTTAATTAATTTCTAGATTAAACACAGTAATTAGAGCCAAAAAAATCTGTATAAATCTGGCTGCAAGAATACTAGCATATATTTTTAATTAATCAAATATCTGCAAATCATCTCTAATATAAATTCAGACTTTAAAATTAGTTAGATAATTAGTTTTATTAAATTTATATAAAAATATCTATTTTAATAATAATACTTCAGCTTTATTAGTTTTATAAATTAAATATATATTCTAAGTATTTAGAACTTTTAATTAATTAATTTCAGTTTTAGCAGCCTGAGTAAATTGGCTTGAAAATATATAATTTCTTATTTCTTATTAGTTAATAGGCGGAGATAAAAGTAATAAGAAATTAATATAGAGAATTTTATTCTTATTAATATAATTAATTATTATTTAAATAACTTGAAGAATAAGTCTAGTTTTTTTAAAATTAGAATCAGATAATTCTGAGCAGGTCTGTTTCAGATCTCTAATTAATTTAATATCTAAGAACTCAGTTTTATTAATTAGCTTATTAATATTTAAATTATTAATAAGAATCTGAGACAGTGAAGAAGATAGATTAGGCGATGAAGATAGTAAATCCTCTATAATTATATTATTATTTTATGAGACTGAGATATTTAACTGATTGCTTGAGACTGCTAACTAACTTAGTTCTGTAGTCAACTGACTTAATTCTGCAGCTAACTGACTTAGGATTATTAACTGGTCTTGTTCCAGTTAATTATCTAATAAAGATTCAGATATTTATCTTAATATTTCTAAATTAGAAAGATTTTTATCTGTATCAGATTCTTTAGATTCTTTAGAAATAAAGATATCTGATTATTCTAATTAAATAGAATCAATTAATTTAATTATTTCTTGCTTTATTAATAGATTTCTAAATTCAGTATATTATTTATAATTAAAATTTTTATTAAAAATAATATCACAAGCCGAAATTACTCTTTTAAAAATAGACATTCAGATCTATCAAATATTAGTTGTCTGATAGTTAATCAGATAATTAATTAGAACTCTGGGCCCTAGTTTATCTTCTTTAAATAAGTTACTAATTTAGATATAAATATATAATTTATATTTTCTTAAATAGAAAATATCTGATTTTCCAGATAACTATGAAAGACTTTTTTAGATAGTTTTATATAGTATTTCTCAATTTAGTTATTTATTTAATATTTTATTTAGAATAAAAATAGCCGAATCTATTATTTCAGATTATAAAAATATAAGAAGCCCTGAATTAATTAATAAACTTCTTATCTTAAAAGTAATTAGAGCTCTGGATCTTTCTATATATAGATTTTGCTCTGGCTGATAAACTGATAAATAATTAATTAGTAAATCTTTAATACTAGTCTAGATTAAAAAAATATCAAGATTCTAGTTCTAATCAGAATAAAATCTCTTAAGTATTATTCTAAATTAATTAATAATTAATTAAATTATATTAATAATTAATTCTGAAATATCTAATTTAAAAGTTAGGACTTGCCCTAGATAAAATTTTGAATAGAAATAATAAAAATAACTGATATATCTCTGTTTATTAATTCTATTTATTATATAAATCAAGTCTTAATAAATTAATTCAAATATCTGACTTTTTTTCTTAAATTTTTATCTTAAAATTTGCCTCTCTGATTGGCTAATTTTATATATAAGATATTTTTTATTTTAGCTTAGCTTATCTGAGCTAGCCTGTTTTAATAAATTAGTAATATTAATTCTCTAAACTAAATTACTTAGATAATTTAGAACTTTCTTATTAGAATGCTCTAATCTTTTATATTATTCTTTGACTGTTCTAGATATTATATATTGGCGTTCTGAGAGTTTGATTGGCTTGAGATTATAAACTGATGAGTCTGAGATAGCTAACTAGCTTAATTCGGCAGTAATAACTATAGCAGAACTAGATTTTTATTTCTATTAAATATAGTATATTTCTTTGATTTTCTTAATTTAATATAATAGAGTTTTATCTGCTTGTTCAAGAAATCTATTTTTTCTATTTAGAAATAGCCTTTTTTTATCAGCTTTTGCAGCTAAGAGAATATTTATATAAAATTAAGAAATATAAATCACTTTTTTAAGTTTAAAATATAGATCTTTTCTATTTAGATAAGTAAAATAAAAAATAATTATTTTATAGTCTTAAATAATTAAAGCAGTATCTCCTACTCTTATTAATCTATTTTTATTTATAATAAAAGTATAATTAATAAAAAAATTTAAGAAATTACAGATATAGCCATCTGAAGCAGTATCAAAAATTTATTAAAATAAATAAAATATTAATAATTATTCTAAATAAACAGTTTATTAATTTATTACTAAGAAGATCTTTTCTGTCTTAACAGTTGCTTTGTTATTTTTATTAAATAAAAATAATATTTAATAAGTCTGGCAGTATTATTCAAAGAAATATCTTAGTTTAAGACTATTTTTAAAAGTATTTCTAAAATAATTTAAGATTTCGGCCTCAGACTTTTATTCAGGATCTCTTAGTTTCTTATTAATATAGAAATAATTATTAAAGTTATAAAATTTATTATTTTTGTCTGATTTGCATGGACAGGGCTGATTCTTAAATCTTTATCTTTTTATTAATATTTTACTGTTTTAAAAAGTTTGTTTTAATTTAATTATTAAAATAGTTGTTGAAACAGTTAATTTAGAATTATCTGAAAGATTTTGAAAGAAGATATAACTAATTCTGTCACTGTTATTATTAACTAACTTAATAAATTATCTAATTTAAGAATTTAGATAAATCTAATTATATATTTTTTATATTATCTCAAGAAACTCAGATAGTTCTTCCTGATTATTCTTATTATTAATTAATTTTGATTATTAAATTATTACAAAATTATCTATTATTTCCTGAACTGATTTAAGAAAGTTATAGATTATTTAAATAGAACTAGTAATCTTGTTTAATTTTAGCTTTACTGCTTTTAAATAAACAAGCTTCTATTAAATTATATAATTCTTAATAAAATCCTTTGTTCCTGAGAATTATAGCTTATAATATTTATTAATAACTTCTCTTATATAGAACTAATTAATAGAGGCAATTCTCTTCTTTAGAACTTATAAAATTTAATAAAGTTTTTCTAAATTAAGTATAGCATGCTGATTTTGCTTGCTTAATATAAAATTTATTAATAAACTTAAAGAGACTAGTCCAGAGATAATTTCCTTCTATTTCTTAAATTAATAATTAAATTAATTTATAATTTCCTGATATAGAAGACAGTCTGATTTACTAAGATTTATTATTAAAATAGTATAATAATTAAAATCTGAAATAAATATAGTAACTGATTTAATAAAGTAGTTAGATTTCTCAGACAAATCTGGATTTATATATTTTCAGATACTCTTATTAATAGTAAATAATTAAATTTAATTAATTCAAAGAAACCAATCAGATTAATTATTAAGAATAATAGAAACTTTCTTAAATTACTGATTTTGAGATATAATAAAGAAATAGTCAAAAAAATTTGAGAATTCAGATAGATCTTACTTTTTACTTAAAAATTTTATAATTTCTTATATAAATTTTAAGTCAGAGATAAAGTAAAAATAAGAAGAATAAAAGAATATAAAGAGTCTTAGAGATATTAATAAAAAATTAATATAAGAGTATAACCAGGCTTATAACTAAGAATTTTTCTTAAGAAATAAGAACTTTTCTTAAGAAGAATTTATTAAACTTTCACTTTCTTATATAAATTTAATACAAAAATAAGATGAAAGTGAGAGAAAGATAAAAGAAGTAAAAAAATAAGAAGAATTAAAAATTAGATAAATAAATAAGAACTTTTCTCTAATCTTTTAAAAAGACTTTACTAAACTCTTACTGAACTCTTACTTTCTTATATAAATTAAATATAAAAATAAGGTGAAAGTGAGATGAAGATAAAAGAAAGATAAGAAAAAGATAAAAAAAGTAATAAGAAAAATTAAAGATAAGAAAAAGACTAAAAATTAATTTAACTTGATTAAAACTTATTAAAAAACTAATTAAAAACTAAGAGATCTTTTTATTATATTTATAGTCAATTGGCTATTAAAAGCACATAAAAATATATAAAATTATATAAAAATTATATAAAATTATATAAATAGAATAGGGCCAAGAACAATAGAATCAGTGATTAAATAGAGACTAGAATAATTAATAAAAGTAAGATCTCTTGCTCCGCTGCGGGATAGACAGAACTCGGAATTATTAGTCC